CACACACACACACACACACACACACACACACACACAGGAATGACAGGTGGAAGGCAGCAGACGACCTTGAGGCCTGGAGAGCTGAGGAGAGACACATGCACGCTTCCTCACCGTCTCCATATGTGCAGGACAGGGCGATGGACACGCCTCCCACCAGGAGCCACCTCCAGGAACACACCACAAGCTCCGGAAGAAGCCGGCTCCCTCTGGCCAAAGGACTGGGAACACTGTGGTCCAAGGGAACCTTCAGCGATACCCACCCTCCTCTGGCCAAACACCAACAGAAGTGCCACAGCTCTGCAGCCTGAGCAGAACCAAACAGGGGGCTGACCCTCCATCCACCAATCAAAGGCCAGGAGTGTTCAAGTCCTGGCCAAGGGAAGGCTGGCTGAACAACGAGCTGCCCACCCCCGGGCAGGCAGGTCAGCCCAGTGCTCCCTCCCAGCCACGTGAACGGGGCTCGAGAAGGGGCCAGGCTCATACCCTGCTTAGGGGCAGCACAGGCCGGGACCACCCTCAAGGGAAGGTGTCAGTGCCCTGAACGGGGCACTCAACTCCCACTCCCTCACGGGAAGCCGAGCAAGTCCAGGACGGTTCCTGCGGGGCCCAGCGGAGTGTGGAGCACACACACTCACTCGGGAATCACTACGCTTCATTCCGTCACAGAGAAACGCTACTCAGAAAGGACCGCAAACTCAAAAGCTAAGACCATGACAGCCAGGAGGAAGTAGAAGATTCTGAAAGTGCTAACAGATCTGTCAACTGTGACTTTCATTCCTGGTAACAATATCCTTCGGTAAAGGGGGGAATACAAACATTGCGGGACACAGGAAAAGACAAGAGAATCCGTTGCAAAGCTGCTCGTAAGACATGGCTAAAGCCAATTCTCTCGGTAAGGACCTCAAAAGCAAAGGAAAACTCTGGGGTTAGGGAAATGTCAATACAAAACAAACTGTCCTTCTTGTGAATTTCTTAAATCCTACCTGATGACTGAAGCAAAAATCAAAACCCCATGTGCCTGGTGCTGTGTGCACACAGACAGTACTCCACAGTCAGGACAAATATGTAAGGATGGAGGGGAGAAAGTGCCCAACAGCAGCCAGGTTTCTACACGTCCTTGACGTGCTGCCTGGCAAGGCAGGGGATCACTCACGTCCAGAATACAGCAGACCCTCCATACAGCCACTGAATGGATGAAACGCAATCGTATTCAATCCAACAGAGCACTCCATGCAACAGCCTAGAAAGCATGAATGAGCAACCACCACACATGACCCACTGTCGCACTGCTACAGGTCATGAAGGTAAGTAAGTCAGAGTCCCTGCCCTCGGAGACAGCGAGTGGCCAGAGGATTAGAAAGAACCTTGGCGTTCTTGCTCCTTCCATCTTGGTTTCTTCTCTACTATTCGGTCTCATTTAACATATGCTAATATAATGATGTACTTCTCACAACCCAATTTCTCATAGAAATATCAACAAATATTTCTTTGAGTATATTTATTAGAGAAGAAAAAGTCCTAAAGGTGTGCAATTAAACATTATCTATTCGGTAAAAAGGGGTAAAAAAATAATAAAATATTTCCCATTTTCAAAAGTACACTTGTAAACAGGCACAGAAAAAAAAATTTAAAGGATATACTCCAGACTGCTAACAATGGCCATCTCTTGGTGATACCGTTTTAAAACACCTTTTTTCCTGTTGTTTACCTGTGTTTTTTAAACTTTGCATTATAAAGTTTGGAGCTTTCGCAATAAAAAATTTTTCATTAAAAAAATTTTAAAAATTTAAAAATCTGTAATATGAATTATAGGACTTGTTGTAAATTGTAGGCCTGAGAACTAGTGAGCAGAACAAAGTTAATGTAGTAGATCTGACTGCCATCCCTTAAAGGCCTATTTAACATCCTGACCCTGACCCTGACGAGGCCCTGGCACCTGCACACGTGGATCTTGGAGGTCCCCCACCACCCTAACTTGTAAGACAGCTCATGGTAGCTCAACCACACAGTTTATACTCAACACTTGATCTCCTTCTGGGCATCTGGAAGTTTGGTACATTATCAGGCAGAAGATACCTCCAGGACGAGTCCCCCAAAAGTGCCCAGGTACAGAGTCTCTAATGGTCTTCCCGGTGAGAAAACATCACATGTATTACAACTTGTGATGGGGAGCAGGGCGGGGGTGCGGGGGCAGGTGGAGGACGCCCTGTGTGGGTCCACAGGGAGGGGTTCCTGACAGCCAGCGCCCCGTTTGCCCAACCTTCGTTCCGGGCCCTTCCCTGTAGGGACTCTGCTCTGCACCTCCTGCTGCAGGAGACCATAAGGAGATTGGCCGTGAGTACAGCTACACCATGACCTAGCAGTCCTCCTACAAAAGCACAGAAACTGGGCGCAGTCTTGAGGAAAATCACAACCACTGATCCACTTGCACATAAAACAATAAGAAAAGGGTATATTCCTCTTCTACTTAATCTTTAAATATTTTATGTCTGTTAAGACTAAAATTATAGGTTTCAAAAAGCTACAAGTCACATAGTAATAGGATAGTTTGAAAACTAGTGTAGGTTTTCCTAATGCCATATGCATGGATATTTAAACAAGCACAGATAAAAAAAAAGCCAAATAAATCTCAAAGTATAAAATCAGGAGACGACAGAAAAGCATTAAAGACTGGTATATAAGGACCTCACAATTCAGGGGCGCCTGGGTGGCTCAGTCAGTTAAGCATCTGACTCTTGATCTCAGCTCAGGTCATGATCTCACGGTCGCATGGGTTCCAGCCCCGCATAAGGCTCTGTGCTGACATCTCAGAGCTGGGAGCCTGCTTGGGATTCTGTGTCTCCCTTTCTCTCTCTGCCCCTCCCCCACTCACACTTTGTCTCTGTCTCTCTCAAAAATAAAATTCTTTTTAATGTTATTTATTTTTGAGAGAGACAAGAGTGCAAACGGGGGAGGGACAGAAAGCAAGGGAGATACAGAATCCCAAGCAGACTCCAGGCTCTGAGCTGTCAGCACGGAGCCGGACATGGGGCTCCAACTCACAAACCACGAGATCATGACCTCAGCTGAAGTCAACGCTTAACCGACTGAGCCACCCAGGTGCCCATGAAAAATAAACTTTAAAAAAAAAAAAAAAAAAGACCTCACAATTCAGTGAATAAGTAAATATAATAGCACACAAGTTGTATACTACATGTATTAATTCACTGGATCAAACTCAGCACCTGAATATGTGAAACACTACAACCACTTAAATCTACAAGTGTTACTTGTTAAGAGTGAAGGAAGTCACTGGAGAACAAAAACTTAGCTCAATATTAAGCTGAAGGGTACACTAAAAAACTAAGAAACAAGAAACACCTCACAAGTAAAATCTAATTATTATAACACAGAAAGTCCATTTACCTTAATTATCTGTTCAAATGCTAATGCGGATTGTAACATCATTGGTCTCTGACTTTGAATCATTTGTTGATCGATGGAATTGTAAAAATGTGCCACCTACAAAGTAAAAGTACAATTAGCAACAATTATTAATAACTAAGACACTTAATTTTTCACCTGTTTTCATTTTTACTTGTTTGAACGGAAACATCAATGCTTCTCATCGTAAGATTTAACAAGAAGCAGCTTTTCATCTGTAATACAGCACTGATGCCCATGTTAACATACGCAGTCACTCCTTGCTGAGTTCCCACAATGTGCCAAGTCCCGTCCCAGGGGCTGATTAAACAAAGACTAGAAAACCCAGTCCCTGGGACCAAGAAGTTCACAGTCTCAGGGGAAATATGGAAGAAACCAGTAAAGCATATCAAATGCTAAAAACTGAACTCTTCACTCCTGCAACTCTGCAAACGTGTTCCTTTGTCAGCATTTAACAATTAATCCACTTCTCAGACCAAGAGATCCTTGAGTTGTCCTTTACTTTTCTTTTACATCCCACATCAATGAAGTCTACTGACTATACTTTTTGTTTGGTTTTTATTTATTTTTTATTCAAATTCTAGTTAGTAACATACTGAGCAGTATTGGTTTTGAGAGAATTCAGTGATTCAGCTCTCACCTACAACCCCTGGGGCTCATCACCAGGTAACTCATCCTCCCCCCGTCCCCCTCTCCAGCAGCCCTCAGGGTATTGTCTGTACTTAGGACTCTCTCGTAGACAGGATGCCTGGTCTCTCAGTCCGTTGAGAGTCTGACTTCAGCTCAGGTATTATCTCAACTCACAGGTTGTGGGATAGAGTCCTGCATCGGACTCTATGCTGACAGCAAGACTTGCTTGGGATTCTGTCTGTCTGTCTGTCTGTCTGTCTCTCTCTCAGTCCCTCCCCCACACACCAACACACTCCCTTTCTCTCTTTTGAAATAAATAAACTTAAAAAAAAAGTCTCTTGTGGTTTGTTTTCTTCTCTTTTTCCCTCCCTTCCCATATGTTCGTCAGTTTTGTTTCTTAAATCACACGAGTGAAATCATGAATTTGTCTACTGCCTACACTTTTACAACATACGTTACAGGCAGCCATGTCACCCACGTCCACCAACCCCAAGGAGGGTGAGCACCCCCGTTGCTCGACAAGACCAGTGTGGCCGTCTCCAAACTGGTCTGTCTCCAGCGGTGGCTTCCTAGTGTCTGTTCAAAGCATTCAAAGAAGCCAGAGTGGTCCTTCCTAAAGATAAATCACACTATTCTATTTGCTACACCAAAACTCCCGATGACTCCCCCACTGCATGTGAGAATAAAATCCCAAATCCCAACACTCTCACCTAAAACCTTCCACTGGCTTCCCAATACGCTGTCGAATAAAACCCAAATCCCCAAGCCATGCCGCTCTCCCAGAACATACTTTTTACATAAGCTGCCCCACCACAGAGCCTCACTGCAGGGCGGCCACGCTGGGCTCCTTGCTGCTCCTGTGACGTCCAGGGGAGTCTCCCTCAGGAGCCACGTGTGAACGTCCCGCACCCAACAGCTTTCCTCCAGACACCTGCAAGGTTCTGTGTCACTTGAAGTCGTATCTCTTCCCAAATATCACCTTTCAAGGCCTACCCTGGCCACTCTGCATAACACGGCAGTCTCTGCTCCAATCGTTTTTTCTTTTGCTTCACAGTACTTAGCACTACACTAGCTCCCAAATTACAACACCTGCTTCAAGAACAGCATCTAGCAAATAGTAGGCACTTGGTAATTATTTCTTCAATCAAGGAATCAAAAACCAGAGATACCCACAAGGTACACTGATGAACGAAAGAGCAACCGTCAACTCTGTTGGGGGAAAAAGAGAGGTTCAGGGAAGCAGATCAAGTGGACACCATGGAGTAAGTCGAAGGAATTGAAAACGATGGTCTTTTCATGTCTGTATCCCCAGCACCTCACAATACACTTGGCCCAGAGTACATTCTTAAAAAATATTTCCTAATTTTATAGATGGTCTGCTTCCTGCCACTAGTAGATATAAAAATAGGCTGTATTTGGTGGAGGATATCCAGGGTATTTATTCTACACCACAGTCGCGGTCCAAGAAAAAGCCTATTCCAGAACACTAGAAGCAAAAGAATACACAGAATTACAGCAATCTGGCTGAGCTACTCTCTAACCAACTCCCACTTCCCACTCCCTGCTCCGGCTGAATTCTTGCTCAGAAGTGAAGGTACGCGTAAACAGATCTCCCCAGGGGAAATGCCGATGCTACACGACCACACTCATCCTTGGAGCTCCTGTGTCGCGCACTAAATACACAGTATACGAGAGTGAGCAAGCCTCTCTGCTTTCGAAGACGCAGCCCCTCTGTGTAACACTCACCCACCCCACCCTCGTGCTCCTGAGAGAGCCCACATACCCCTCCAGGCTCACACCAAACAGCATTCCTCCATAAGGATTTATCTGATACTGCCTCTACCCCTACCCAGGAAATAACTGAAAATTGCCACCTCTATGCTTTCCTGGGACTTTACAAAATCTTTAATAGAGTGCTCGTAATGTATTACCTATTTTTTTAATGTTTATTTACTTTTGAGAGAGAGAGAGAGAGAGAGAGAGAGACAGAGCATGACTGGGGGAGGAGCAGAGAGAGCGATACCCCAGAATCTGAAGCAGGATCCAGCCTCCACAGTCAGCACAGAGCCCAACACAGGGCTCGAACCCACGAACCACGAGATCATGACCTGAGTCGAAGTTGGATGCTCAACTGACTGAGCCTCCCAGGTACCCCAATACCTGTTTTATCAAGTTTTCACTTATCTGTCATCAGTACATAAACTTAATGGAATAAATATGGGCTTTGGAGCCACCTTTGGTATCAAATCCCAGCTTCATCACTTACTAGCTACGTGGCATCAGAAAAACTATGTTATGAATCGGATCCCCAATCAGTTATGTGAAAAACGGGGAGTTAACTGAAATAACATAAAAAAGGTATCTACCAGAAGGCCTCATATTTATGAGGATTCATTATTTATTTCGCTCTCTCCCTCTAGACCAGTGGTTCGCAACCATGGTTGATTTGCACCCAAGGGGACACTTGGCAACGTCAGGAGACACCTTTGAATGTCAGTACTAGGCAGGTGCTACCGGCCAGAGAGGCTACTAAAATGCACAGGATGCCCCCACAGAAAAGAAGTGGTGCAAAATGTTAACAGTGCTGAGGCCGAGAAACCATGTGCCAGAATCCAGCAGCCGCGTATTCATCTCACACCCTCGCTACACTGTGCACAGCAGTACAGGTGCTCAGTGGATCCTCGCTCAAAGAACAGATGGAGAGCAAGACATGCAGGATACTGCTCTTGCCTCTAATATATTGTTCCTGACCACTAACATACTGTTCCTGACCACTAAGACACCACTCCTGCCTCTAAGATAACACTCCTGCCTCAAAGATACCACTCCTGCCTCTAAGATACTATTCTTGTTTCTAAGATACCATTCCTGACCTCTAAGATCTGTTAATTACATGAGCGAAAAGACAAAACACATCCAATACTACAGAAAAACGTTCAAGACCGATGTGCATACTGCATACGGAGTAAGGACGAATCACCCAAAGGAAGACAAAACAAAGAGATTTCTGAGTGGGGAATTAGGGATGACTCTGAGTTTTCTACTAAGAAGGAACAGGTATCCATGCATGGAGACATGTTCAGAGGAGAACCGGGTCTCGTGTGATTGAAGCATAGGGCACAACCTGAAGGGAAGAGTCCAGGCAGTGAAGGCCACAGCCAGTCAGGTCAGTTAGAGCATGATTAACAAGGGCCTGAGGACTGTGCTAAAGAGACACACAACGAGGGGTAATAGTTGGCTTTAAACAGGGAAATGTGGGGCACCTGGGTGGCTCTATGGGTGAAGCATCTGACTCTTGATTTCGGCTCAGGTCATGACCTCATAGTTCATGAGTTTGAGCCCGCACTGGGCTCTGCGCTGACAGTGCAGCCTACTTGGCTTTCTCTTTCTCTTTCTCTCTTTCTTTCTTTCTCTCTCTCTCTCTCCCCCTCCCTCCCTCCCTCCGCCTGCTTCTGCCACTAACAAACATGTGCCCGCTCTCTTTCTCAAAATAAATAAACAAACTTTAAAAAACATTAAAAAAATAAACAGGTAAATGATATGATGGTAATGTGCTGAACAGATAGACCCAGGAAATGACCAAAAATAGAGACTAGTCCATCAGCCTTGTAAATCTCTAAGAACCTGCCTACTGAAGGTGAGCGGAGGACAGAGGACGCTTTGGTTAGAAAGTCCTTTAATATCCATGCATGTAACATGAAAGAAAAAGGAAAAAAAAAGAAAAATTACATTCTAATTTTCCAAATGTTTTTAGAATGAATATCAATACTTCAAATTAATGAATTCCTCTATAGGCTTAAAAAGCAAATTTTGTAAAGTAGTCATTTAGCAAACCATAATTTCACAAGACTCACTGGTGCTATTCTATTAGCCTAAAAAATAACAAAAGTAGAAAATGAAGCCCTTAAAATAGTTGAATGCAATGAACTCAGAACAGTCATATATTCAAAAATGTAATGCCATACTTGTTTAAGAATAATTGCTTGCTTGCAGAATTTCTGTGCAATGTTTGCAACTTGCTGTATTTTGGCAGGAATAACAAAGCCAAGAGCAGAAAGCTGACGAACTTCTCTCAGGAGAATCACCAACCGATCTGAATAATGCACCTTTAATGATCCATCACTAGGATCCAATTCCATAATTCGACTATTAGCCTCGATGCTACAAAATAAAATAACTTCTTAAGTTTCACGTTCTCACTCTTGACATAAAAAACACAATAGTGTTTATAACTTTTCTATAAATATAAAATTAACTCAAAGTAAAAAAAAAAATTTTAATCACAGTTTCCAAGTAATCTTTTTTTCTACATAGTATCTCACAATTCAGATCTTGGTAATAAACTGCAATACCCAAACTACACCATCACATTAATATTTCACTCAAGCAGTTTTTTGAAGTCAGAAAAATCAGTTGCTTAGCCTTCAGCTAAGACTCAAAACTCACATCATATTCACCATAAACAGAAAAGGTTTGGGGGAACCTGGGGGTTCAGTCAGTTAAGCAACCGACTTCGGCTCAGGTCATGATCTCACCATTCCTGAGTTTGAGCCCCGCATCGGGCTCTGTTCTGACAGTTCAGAGCATGGAGCCTACTTCAGATTCTGTGGCTCCCTCTCTCTCTGCCC